AGGTTTCTCTTACATATATATATAGTCCTATGGTCCGATAAGGCACCCCGTAGTAGTACAAGTCCACCGGTCTACTTGTTCGATCCTTTTGAAGTCTGGGAAGGTTGATACCTTCCTGAGACGCATCAGTTTTGAGCAGCTCTGGGGCTTTTTTCCCTGGTGGAGCAGCCGGCGGAGCACAGCAGAAAGCCTGCTGCGAAAGATGGAAGGCGCCGCCCCCAAAGGATCTGATCCTGTTTGCCTGCTCCTTGACGAAGAAGGTTCAGAGAATACATCGCAAGAGGGAGGTTTCACGAAGGAGGACCGAGGCTCGCTGCGACAATGCATCGAAGAGGAGTTGACGGACTCTCCACTGCACCTAGCAGGTTCCGACTCTCTGTGTGGTGTATCCACGGCGGGGTACTTCCCACAAATAGGCTTCTCCGCAAAAATACCCAGATGCTTCTCGTCCTCCCATTAAAGGAATCTAAGGATTGGAGCCCATCATGGGAGCATTTCCGGCTGGCGGCTGGCGAGTGGTTGAGTCAGACCAGAAGAGACTTGGTTTTGGTTCAGGAATTCAGTTGAAGTTACTGCGATGAGGAAACCCTTGGATCCCTTTTATGGTCACTCAGATTCAGATTCTTAAAAAGAACCCAGGAGAGCCTCGCTCTCAAGATGCTGGTGGCTCGGAGGCCGCCGAGGATCCGGAGCAGCAGCAGGCTTGCGTCGGCACGTTGGAGCAGTGGCTGTCGCTCCTTGACAGCCTGGATACCCCTGGCCGGCTGATGAAAGCTGTGAAGCTGGATTCCGGAGTTGTGGAAGCCGGTTGCTTACCCAAAAACTAGCACGTGGTCTTTAATAAGATACCAAGCCATGTCAAGCAGCGACTACGGTACATAGCCTTTGGATGGCCCAGCCCCTTGTCAAGACATCATGCAGTGTTCGCTGGAAGGTTGGGTCTTACGAGACGGCTACAGCCGTGAGGCTGAGCCCCCTGCGCTACCGCTTGCGGTAAGCTTCGACAAGGAGGACGGGGCTTGTCATATAATTTGTTATTTGCATCCGTATGATTATCGTTATTTTCATGCCGTTGTTGTTACTAGTATTATTGCCCTTATTATTACTATTATTGCTACTGCTGCTACTACCAGTACTACTACGATTTTTGTTATTACTACTACTACTACTA